ATTCATGCCCCATGGCTGCGTGTTACAGTAATGCAACAGAAGCTGTTATGTACATGTACAGTGAGGAGAAAATAACATGGTTGATTCTGATGCATCTTGGAATTTTATGTATTTATTGTTTAAAACATTCTTTCTGTTTCTGAGATAAGGTGGAAAAACATCTAATGGCTCTCACATTGCCACAGTTTCCTCACCCAAGTTATATTAAGATCTCATTTCACAGGTTTCTGTGTAAATTATTTTTCCTTCAAAATGGTGATATCTCAAGAAAATCAAAGTAATTTTAGTTTAGTTTCATTAAAATGTAACCTGAACCAAAATAGCCAGACTCATGTCAGTCCTTCTGCTGGACACATAAAAAGACAACATTTACTTACTGTAGAAAGTAAACTACTTTGAATTGAACAAAATCACTGTTCAGCATGGGCCATGTGATCGTGTGTTCAACCTTCAGACAAGGGCATCCTAATCTCCTAAACAATTTTTAAAGCGTCTTGTATGGGTAATTGTGATTTACTGTCACTCTCCATTAAAGTCAAGTGTAAGAGTGAGGCCAGAGTGGCGAGGAAGAAAATAACCTACAGCAGGACTCCACAGTCAGGGAGACGGATGGGACATGAGTTGCTCGATGCTCATTTGACGTCCTTCGCCTCAGCAGATGACGCTCACATTATGTCATTCTCTGCCATGAAGCAACAAATCAAAAACACAACAGTATCCCATCTAAAAAGGAAGGATTATGAATAGGTGGGTCGCAAATATTCTGGTGTTAACACGTTTATTTTCAAGGCTGAGACAATAAAGTTGCTAGCACTCATAAGTTTTTCATTTTCAGGTTTTTCAGATGCAAGATTTTCCATCTGCAGTTCCAAAATATAAATAATAAGAGTGTACAGCTACCTTATTCAGCCTGGGGGCACTTCCATGTTGTCTGTTCAGTGTCTCCACAAAGCTGAACTGTTATACCAAATCTATTTTTACATACCTGTAGTTATTGCGTACTATGTACTGTGTTCACAATAGCTTAACAAAAAGCAGGGATGCTCATCTTTAATTCAAGGCAGGCTTTTTGACTCAGAGATAAATCCTCTTCCCACTCATAAGGAAAAAAAAAGGCCTCCAAGTATTCATCTCTCTATTCAGCAATTATTTAGCCTACCTGTATTCTCTGCAGTTTCAGAGAAGGATTCAGTCACTGATGCTCTTACCCAAAGTGACACTGAGTTGCTTGAACTGAGCTTCTTCCAGAATGACAGCGCTCCAGCCCCCAAGCATATGGTCGACACACACCTGTCAAATTAATTTCTGAACAATCATGTCACGTTTGCAGCAGGTTTTACCCGTATTCAAATCACCACACCTGGAAATTAAACATTCTGTTGTATTTTGTCTTAATGATGGAGTGTGATTTTATTATGAAGATGTTTTTAGCCCTCTGATTTAATTTACTCTCTCATGTTTGCCAGCATGAATATCTGTAAAAAAAAAAAAAGTCCCAGCAAAAACAGAGACTGTCAGCTAAATGCCTCAGAATCGGTCTGACATAACTTGATATAAGCTACTCCAACAGACACTGTGCAGGTGTCATAGTAAATCTATGTTTGCTTTGTGTGATCAAGTTGTTATTCCTTTGTGAGGACCTAACGGCATGGAAGGCCTGGTGTTCTCTGCATGAATCATTTAGATGAAAGCCTGTGGAGGAGAGGGGGGAAAGGAGCACAAGGCACCTGATGTCAACTTTAATTAGAATCCAGTTTGGTCTCTGTTACCTTGACTTTGAAATCTCAGGATCCTGCAGAGGCAGTGGAGACAGTTCTTGGCTACGAGATGTGTTTAGACTAGATAATTTTGATGCCATAAAAAACAACTGCAATGAGGAATTTTAAACCTGTATCTTGTTAAATGCTCTATGCGCTGTATATGTTCACAGCAGTGTCGTGTAAATATTTCTTATGCAGGTCTAGGATTTGCAACAGCCATGCAGTTAAGTTTATAAAGTGCTAATAAAAAGACATTTTGAGCACTGATATGCTCTCCAGCAGATAATTATCCATGTGTGAGGATTTTGTCTTAACAGTTATTTCACACTTGGCACCTTATTATCATATCCTGTTGCTTTAAGTTGCACCTTGATATTCACAGGAACACAGCAGCGACTTCCAAGAGCTGAGACTGGAGCATGACTAGACTGTTTGAGCGTTTTGAATGAAATGTGTCTTCGGAACAAACCCATGGGAGCCTCAATTCTCAGGACGTCCCTGGTGTGTCATATAAAGAAGTCAGGGCACATCACCGTCACTTGTGTCTTAGTTCTCACTGTTCTGCAGCTTGATGTGAGACATCAGAGACTACAGCAGCAGCCCAGAAATCCACTTTGAAGACTGACAAAAAATGGGATACAGCTTGCACCTTATACCCATTTAGTAATCCCATCTCAGACAGAAACATTATTCCAAATGCTGCTTCAAGCTGTGGTAGTCTAAAGCAAGAGCTAACCAGCATTTTATGCATTCATACAGCCATGTAGTTACTGCTGCCTTGGACAAAGGTTTTGTAATTTCAGTACAATAGAAGATGAGCAGTGTGCTGTAATTTGACATCTGCCTTTTTGGTGCATGAGCCACAGTACAAATGGAGCATGACAAGGGCAGAAAACAGAGAAGGAAAATATAGGCCATTCGGCTGTATATCAGTTCACTGTTGATCACCAGTACAACCACACCTGGATTTACAGTACAATCCCTTTTCATTAAAGCTGAACATGCTTGTCTCTCTTCATTACAGTACTTGTCTGAGTCCGTATGCTAATGAAGATGGGTGGAAGCTGCTACTATGATGACAGGCTGCAACTATTCAGGCTGACTCTAGTTGTTATGCAAATAAGCTTAGCATATGTTTTATTGGGAGCCAAAGTCTCATCCCATCTCTGGATTAACTGCTGTTCCACTCACATGTATATTTTTCTACACATTTTTTGTGGTAAGTTCTTTCTAAAAAGCTGAAATTTATACAGGGTTTGGGGTTTTGATTTGGTCATATACAGTAAGTAGTCTTTGGTAAAATTTCACTAGCAGGTACAACAGTGACCAGGAACACTTTGACTAGAACATTTTGTCCTAGTCTAGAATGGCTGGTGGTTTGAAAAGTATCAAATGAGCCACATTTTGTCTTTTTTGTAATACCTATTTTATACCTGTTATAATATTGTCAACTCTTATAAATTCTGTTGGTGCTCTGTAACTGCTCCATGCCCATGTGACACAGAGGGTGTCCTGCAGTTGGCAGATCGCCCGTGGTGTATTTATGAACACCATAACGCTTTTTAACTTTCTTAGATGTGACTATCAACACACACTGAAATATATTTAAAAACAAAAATGAAGGATGAGTAAAAGACTCCCAAACAGCATGGAGATAAAACATGCAACAGGGTGGGTAGGAGATACTTTGTGAAAAAAATACCTGAAGAGTGATGCATCTAAATGCACGCAAGTCATTTGGTGGCTGCCCTGCCAGCAGTACTAGGACAAGTGGCACATAGGGGAAAAAAATGTATTGCATTTGTCTGGTTAGCTAGAAAAGTAATTTGTTTCTAAAGACATCACCCATCCAAATGTGTTTACTCAGGATGAGCATCTACCTAGCACAGCTAGCTGTCCTCTTAGTGACAATTGCTATCCATAAAAAGAATGAAAAAAAAACAAAACATCATTTATATTTGTGATACTAGTACACTGACATAGTAGCTTGTATAGTACTGTTAAATTACAGAATTCATATGCTGATTGTGTTGGGCAGCAGGTCGTGGTCACATTCCAGGGCCTATGTGTCCCACTCTGTCCCTTGATAACCAAGACCATTTCATATCACAGAAACTGATAAGAGAAAAATCTCCTATGCATAAGTGTGTAAGAGACTACTGACAAAGCGCTCTCCCTGTTCCTGTTGCAGACTGTTGAGGCTGGCAAATCAATGTTCAAATTGTTCATAAGAGGCCAAATTCTTTTAAAAATTAAAAGCAAAGGGCAAAAACATCCAGCATTTACATTTTTATATCATAAACAGGAGAAATGTTGCATTTGACTGGACACCATAAACAAACAAACAGTGTTTTAAAATAAAGCTGAATATACAGTATGTGGACAGAGGAAAAATAACAACACAGTAGGAAGGTCCAGGAAAAGTTTCACTTTTCTAGAAGATGGATGACAGTGCACAGCAGCAGCAGTAGCAGCAGTAGCAGTCATCCAGCGCTCCTCCTCGAGTAATTCCAGAAAGAACGAGGCTGTGAAAGCAATGGCCAGTATCACACTTTAAAGTGTTGTAAATAGAGGAGCAGGTCCTGTTACCCATTCTTCTATGCGAGAAATTGCTCTAGGTCATCTATATCTGTGTCGACAAAGAGCAAGAGTAACTGCAGTTGATAAATTAGATGTTTGGCTTAAAGGTGCAAGTAAAGAAGGTGACTGAGATGTTTCCTGTTGAGCTCATTAGGACTAAAGCAATATTTAGATGATATTACTGCTAAAGCAACAAGTCAGCTTAGCAACAAGAGTTTCATGGGGGGAAGGGGGGGTACATACTTATTTCTTGGACACAACCTATTCTGGTTCATAATCTCCTGTAAAACCACAACTTGTTGTTTTTACACCCGTTTGTGTCGCCTAAACAAATGATATATCACGGTGAGCTGGCAGGCTTACGTTTGGCAGAGCCATGCTAGCTGTTAATCCCTGCTTCCAGTCTTTAAGCTAAACAAAGCTAACCACTGACTGGCTCTAGGTTCATTTTTACCATCCAGACATAACAGTGGTCTCATCTTCTTATTAACACCTAGCAATAAACCAAATACCTGTGTTTCCCAATCTAAACAAGTGATCTGGTGTCAGTGTGTACACACATTTGTGATTACTATGATAAACTTCTGATTACTGACACCTGCAAGGGCAATAGCAAAAGTGCACTCACATAGGTTACAGGAACAATGACTTTAATGAAATTTCAGCACATACCAATAGATGGCTTTATATGTACAGTGATATGGCACAAATAAGGCATTTCAAGTATCGAAAACAATCTACTGGTATCGCATTTTCTGTGAATCGGTCATGTTTCAGGGTAGCTGGCACGTTACCAAATTTGACTGGCAAAGCCATTTAAGAGATCATCAAAGCCATACAAGTACCATACAAACAAATGTTAAAATGTACAGAATAAAGACACGTAAACTGTATTTGTAAAACACCTCCGCCACAATATGTCACATCCTTGAACTTGTCAAACTTTGGCTAAGTTGGGTTGTGTGGCTAAGAAAGCTGCATTCAGGGACACGAATGGTTGATTTTTCACCACCATCATGGTATACAGGAAAGGACAAACAATTTCTGTACAATATTTTTCCTCATACAATATAAAAAAAAACCTGAGGGCTGTCAAATACCGGACTTGCTCATCCCATGTCCTTTGACGTATCCTCTCCCGTTTGGTGCTTTGTAGTAGATATCTAGGTCACTGATGTCCAAGGATGTCAGCTGCTCTGATCCAAATGCACAAACATTCACATTTCATCTCAAAGTCAGAAAGAAATGATGAAAATGTATTCATTATAAGGGTTTGATGAAGTTCTCCGCAGTCAGCTTGGAGCTTCAGTATTTTCAGTAGCCTTGAGCAGAATGTGCTTTATGTATTCTACATGTTTTTACACTTTGATTTGAGAAATGTTCATATTTCATAAAGCAACAATAGGTTCATTGCCTTTATGGTAATTGGTCCTGTTACAGTGCTGGAATGAGAAGGAAAGGCTTGTTTAGAGGGGTGTAAATATCACAGAAATGAATATAAATCATGTTTTGCCCTTTACAAAGATCAGCAATTAAGACAGTTGAGAGAAATTAATTAGAATACCAGTGCTCAAGTGTAAAGGAAGAGGCTGACCTGCAAATTCAACTTTGCACCAGAGGTGTTCTTTTGCATCCATTCCAGAAAGTGTTAATATGTTGATGTTGTGTAGGGCTGAGTGTTCTGACAAGAAAATGAAGAAGGAAATAGAGGGGTTAGACCATGTTGTTAACAAGTCTATTTGCAGTGAAATTCCATCCCAGTAACTATGCTGTTTTGTTGATGCCACAGTGAGTGTTGCAGAGCTGTACATTTATCTCCCACTGTTCAGCTATAATGTCTTGTTTCCCACGGTTAAGAGAGGTTATCTTACCCTTGTGGTTTTGATCTTGTTGCCAGCATAGCACATCCAGCCTGAGTTGTCAGGGAGCGTCTTGCATTCTTCCCCCTCCAGGCAAGGCTCCATCTCACACCACCACTTCCCAATTACTATGGATGCTACATGCAACAAAGACAAGAGAAATAATGACCTGAGGTAGCTTTCAGAACAGAAACCAGATAGCACAGCTTGGGAGATTGCAGGTAGATGGCCGTTAGGGGGGTGTTACTAATCCTAATTATCAAATGTGTCATGTTAAAAGTGTTGTTAAAGATCTTGTATGGGTCACGTATATGTGCCAGACAATTTTTTTCAGTGCAAAACAATTGTGGTTTCCCTAATAGATGCAGTTATGTATGAATACAGAGGGTGGAACTTTTCATTGAGTGAGTGGATCGGTAGGTGTGACTGTGACTTGACTTTAATGTACGCCACATTTCTGCCGTCAGGAGAGAAAATTGCCTTAAATACAGGGTAAGTAGACAGTAAATGGTTTGTAATGTGTGACAGAGGAAAAGAATCTGTCAGCGCTGACACTTGAGAGACCTCAAATTTCCTGAAGTCCACTCTGAGATTGCTATAATATTTGCAAAAGGATTTAAAATAAGACCTGCAGGTGAGATTTGTCTAAAGCCAATATCAGTTTCAGATGTGTCAGACCCAAGCACCAAATTCATTTCTTACAAGGGATTGAGCCTGTGTAGCAGACATTTGTCAAGGCATGTTTAAAACCATCATGAAATATCTACAAGGCGCCTGAGCGGTGAACAGCCATTTTTCTCTGCATCTCTTTTCTCTATGTTGTTCTTCATTTCTTTACCCTTCCTGGAGGTGTGCTACATTCAGCAGCTGTGCTTCACCGTCTGCTGGCGTAAAGCTTACCCCTGCAGATACCTTCTGCTGTCTGTCAGCAAAGGAATTTGGATGTGACATTATCCCAGTTCATATTAAAGCTTATCTGGGACAAGACTTCGCATGTGTGACTTCAGCTTTTATTGGAACAAATCTCTGTATCTGTACTAAACAGTCATTTTGTCTGGTGGTATTTCTCTTGTTGTATCATACAGTACATGTTTAGTTGAATATAAAATGTAAAAATCAATCAAAATATGAAAGTAGAAAAATCCTTAGGACAGCATTGTCGTAAAGCCTGATATTTATGTAAAACCTGATACTTATTTTTTACTGTATGTGCTTTAACTCACCGTCAACACATGAAGGTCTGTTTCTGGTGGTTCCAGCAACCTTTCCCGGCAGACAAGAACACTTGACCGTCTGTGAGCGCTCCTCAATACGATTCTTATTACAACATCTGTGAGCAGCAATTACTTCACATGTGCCCCCTTCTGATAAGAAAGAAAAAAAGAAAACAGACAATAAACTAGCATTAAAGGGAAAAATGATGTCAGGACAATTATTATGATCAATTAATCATTTAAGGTATTTCTTAAATTGCCAGTTTTGGTCAGACCAAACAACTAACTGACAAAATAACTGACAGCTTAATCAAAAGTCATTGCTACTTGTAGGCCTTGCCACAATTAATCTGACGACTATTGTTTTAGTCATTTAGAGAGATATTTGGCCTCTAATTTCTCAAATGGATTAATCCAATTTTGTGTAAATATTAATGTTCAAATATTAAAGTAAAGTCCAAAAAAAAGGAAAAAAGAGAGAAAAATGTGTTTCTCTTGTTCTTTCCTCTTCCATTTATCATTTTACAACCCCTCATATTTTTTATGTAATTGTTGGAAGAACCTGACCCCTAGGTTAGGACCCACTGGACTAAACAAGCAGTGCATATAAATTAGATGAAACTAACTCCACATATACATTAATACACTGTATAAGTATTAACAGTCTAATAACAATTATTCCTTTTTTACACTGTTTGAGTGAGCAAGGTTCCCTACAGCTTGTTGAATATAAATTGTTGATGAAGAGATGCGTGAAAGTGGGCAGGAGGAGAGGCCTGCTTCAGTGTTATCATGAACACCAGCTCCACCATGCAGTTATCACCAAACTAATGACTATGCCCTGGAGGATGAGCGGACTGGACCGAGCAGATTCGACCCACCTCAACCGCTGGCCTCCCACCCACTGTGCTCCAGCTCTCCATCTATGAGAGTTGTGCAGCACAGGATCATCTGACAATTACACCCATCAGCAGGACGCAAAATTCAAGAAGGTTGTTAAGTGAAAGGGCAGAGAGGGAAAAATAAGAATGTGGTATACTGCCAGCAAAGTGATTTGTAAAGTAATGTTTGACAATTAGCTGTGTGTCATGGCTAGATTTGCATATACTGCTTTGCTAATTTTGAATATTTGGGTTTGTGATGCACTCCTGATGAAGAACATTTGCTTAGAAGTAAAAATGCTGCCATGCACGTTGTCTTAGAAAACCCTTTGCATTACATCAATAAACAGCAATGAATCACTGCAGTTCAAGTTACGGTATCATAATTCAATGAATACACAACTCAATTGGTGATGATTAGTTAACTCTTGTTTAACATCCCATCATTTATAAGCAGTATGTAAAAAGAATCATACAATAAGCAGCTATAAACACTTGTTGATGAATCCTCATTCTATGTAGCATCCAATAATTATTTATACAATACAACATGTTTGCAATTATATATAATGACATGCAAACTCAAACAACTCCTCAACAATTTTAAAAATCAGTGAATCATATTGTTTAATCAAGTTTATGGGTCATATCTTTTCTTGGTTTTTAAATGTGAACATTTGTTGATTTGCTTTCTTTTTGGTTTAACAGAAAAATCCTGATCTTGTAGCAGGCCGAGGAGAATAATCCTTCTGTCTGATGTGCTCAACAAAAGGGCATGACTGCACAACACTAATCGTGATGTACCCGTGGAAGCAGTGGGCCATCATTTGAAAACAACAGCCTTCAGGGGTTTGTTCTTAATGCATCTCCTTAATTGCATAAGACAGCCCCAGATTTCCTCTTTGATCTATTAAAAACACACCACTCAACAGAATTAACTTGCATTGCTTGTTGCTAGCAAACAGAGCAAAGCGTTGAGATACTATATTTGGAAACAATCTTCTCCAAAGGGTACATTAAAATCAAATAAAAATGCAAATCAGCATGGTATTTCTAGCTGCCAGGTGTACTGGGTACCCTGAAACAAAAGCTATGCAATACTGATGAGTGCTCTTCAAGTTCACCCATGGTTTCACACTGGGAGTACAACATGCTGCATGCTCTGAGAACCAATCTTTGCATTCTAAATATTTCAGAAGAAGATGGAGAAAAACATGGCTGGAGATGATCGCTCTCATCAGGTGAGGGCTGGAGCCATGCAAGGGTATAATTGTTTTCTGTATTTCCATTTCCCCTTATTATCAGCGACTATGAACAAAGTCAGACTCCTAAATAACAAACAGCTTCAGGATGTGAGTATGTGTAAGTGTGTGTGTGTGTGTATTTCTGTTGTTTCTCCAGCAACAGTTTGATTGACAGGGAACAAGGGCTACAGAGACACTGTCATCTGTCAGGTCAAAGGTTCACATAAGCAGAGGGTCTTAACTGTCTCCATGTTCAATGCTCCTGCATCTTCATTAGTCTGAGTTGGAAAACAGAGGCTTTCAGGACACGAGGCGACCACCTGCAACCTGCAGCCAACAGGGCACAGCTCATTTGTAGGTCTGAAATAGCTGAAAGAGTCATAACCTTGTGCTATATGAGGTGTATGAGGTGAAGGTTCTGTCTGGGATTATTTGCTCATGGAAGTGTTTGGTTTCTTATGTGGAATTTTCTTTTGGTCTGGTCTGACTCTCACTGAGAGCAATGAACATTTAGGGTCCAAGTTTCTCTGGACCCCTGATTCTAAGGTTACAGATGTCCCAATTTTATGACTTATTATAAATTTGACATCAGTGTTACCTCAATATTTAACCAAATAAAATATTATACATTATACATAAGACTTGTTTTCTGTGTATGCATAGAAATATTTACATTTACACACTTTTGGAAAGTAACTACGTGCATTTAGGCGATCTGCAGCAATTTAGGATTGCACTTACAAAAACCTGGGGACTCACAAGATACAGGTTAACAATGAACAGTGAAAATCTGTGCAGCAGAAGCTGGATGAGATAACCTGGCTTTATGTCTACAAGTCTGGATCCTACAGATTGAGAAGTACTACTTGTGGTGAGTAAGCTGAAATTACATGAAACTGGTTGTTCTTTCTCAACAGCTGTCTTACCATGCCATTCCACAACATCTGGAACATCCGCTGATGAGGATCCGATGATGAGGATCATCTGATCTGTCTACAGTGGTGAGATTGTTCCCTTAACTATTACATCACTGTTGTGTATATTTTTACTTGAATAAAATATTTCATTTGTAAAAGTTGGAAGACTTGCTCAAACCTAAGTAAAAGTAGAAATATCACATTGTTTTCTCACCACAAGAAACTGCTGTGTCCAAGGTTAAAAATGAATAACATCATAAACTGCTTAGTGAGACTGTCTTGTGATTTCCTCATCATCTGCAGGAGCTGCAGATGACACTGACACATCTGTCTCACTGTCCCAACCTTTGAGCTTGTCCAAGGTTAAAAAATATAATCCCAGAGTTTCATAAATAATTATTCAGTGCTGTCTGTTATACCATGACATAGGTTGTATGTCTACTTATGTTTTTCAAATGATGATTATTTTGTCTCTTAGATGATGACATGAAGTTTGATCTTAAACACTAATAATAATAATAACAATGGAAACATTCATCTTGACCCCATTATTTCTCTTTCTATTCTATTTTTTTATCCTAAAATAAAGTGACTGCAATCTTGTCAGCAGATCAAGATGTAGCAGTGTGTTGACAGTTATTGTAAAATGAATTTAACCATGAGCCTTGAATGGCTTTGTGAACCCTAACAAATCCCTGGCATACACACCGAATACATCTGCTTGGTTCAAGTTTACCATGTGGAAATTTGTCAGAGCACTTAACTGTAATGCTATTATCTACACAAATGACAACACCTGGCATGAGCAGTCTCTCAGCTGCTGGATGGAGAGAGAGTGCTGTTGAGTCGATGGTCTCAGGCACAATGAGTCACGCTGGAAGTTAACGATGCTGCATCAAAATTCGATGAGTTATGGGCAACAAGCCTGCATGAAGGCAAATGCTGTCAAATCGTGCATGGCATGAACACAGATTTTGAATTTCTGTCGATCTGCAGTTATGCCTGCCTGCTGAGTGTGAGCACAGTTCATGTGGGACCAGTAAATGGTTCTTCAAACGTGATGAAATGGCCTTTGCGCAGAGGAAATGGTCAGTCTATCTCAATAGAAATGTCACAATGCAATAAGTATGCGATGACTTGCTGTCTACTGTAATGAGGCCAGACTGTGTAGTTGTCTCTGGAGATGCTGATAGAAAGTATACTGTCTCAATGGCAACACTCCTCTGCCATCTGTTCCAGTCATTCAACACAGTGTGTACATGGGAAAAAAAACACTATATGTGCAATTTGTAGTGAAATTCTGAACACCAGCAGTCATTTTGGTAAACCCTAATAATCTAGGTGAAGTATGTGGCTTTAATGAATACAGCATAAGACTGAAAGGATAGCGCTGAGAGCCGTCACCATTCCTCTCCATATATAAACTAAGTGGGAAGCCTAAGGGACTCAATTTAGCAGGTAACTGGACTCAGTCCTAAAGATTTGAATTCCAGTGATTGGCAGCCAGCGACACTGTGCGCACACCCTGCAACGTATGTGCACGCGCACCCACACAGTTAAGTGCCGTGTGACAGTAGATCTTGATAACTGCATGACATCTGAATAACTCCCTACAAGCTCAGGTTCGTAGCATCTATGGTTAATTATTTTGTAAAAGCCATTTACAAGAGACAGCAAGCCCTGATGTCCAAACCACAGACCTCTGTGTTTTAGAGCAGCATGCCTGCCACCTTTTAATGGGAAAAGCATGCAAGATGACTCTAATAGGCTTCACTTTTCCTCTGCATGTTCTCTGCAGAAACCCAAGCCAGCAGGCTACAGCAGCTCTGTTGCTGACAGGAAATGGAAGCACCAGATTAGAGAATGCCAAATTAATGCAGATGGAAGACAATGATTGGCACAAAACATGCGACTGCATGGTGACAAAATGAATGACTATTTTTACCTGCCTCTTGCGAAAATGTCTGAAGCCCCATCGTATTGTTGTTATCCTAGACCTACAGTAAACGCTGGGGTGAAAGTGAATGACATATGGCTAGAAAAATAATTAAAAACCTTATGAGTAAAGAATGTTTTCAGAATTAGCACTGTTTGAGAAAAGCTACAAATATTAAAGGCAATAGTACATGAGGGTGTTTTTTTTTTTTACAATCTAGATTTAATTTTTAATGTGTGTGAAAGTTACAAGTTTACATGTGCATTTGTAAGACAGAGTGCAGCAATGTACAAGCAAAGGAAACTACCAGTTGCTACTCTGAAAAAAAACACTGTCAATGACAAATAAAAGCACACAAATTTATAAAATCTGGCTTGCAGTTCTGACATTGTGTCACACAAGGAGGCTGTAAAATTGGTCCTGTGCAGTGGGCCAAAGATGGGCGATACTTTATTGAAATGCAAAATGACTTTTTAGGGAGTAGAGCTGGTGTTGTTTTAAGATGCATGAAAACTGCATGGAGCAGAGGAAGCAGCGAATAGTAGGGGATGGGATTTTCATTTGCATGTGAGCCTCAAAGCTTGTCATCTCTGTTGTCACACAACACAGACCCAGGACACTGAGGGTCTGGTCCTGATCAAGGGCATTAAATGCTATTCTGACATGAAAAACGCCCGTGGTTTTTTGGTTTTTATGGTGGAGATGTGTGACTCCTTGAGCATGACAGTAACGTACTGTACAACAGCAATCACACTGCAGCTTTTATGTTCATTAAACCCACAAAATCAAAGTTAGCATGTCTACTTTATCCTCTCCTAGCACATACTCACTTCTGAGATTGTGGAAAATGGCCAAACAGAAAAACTACCATGTAAAAATAAATCTCCTGTCAGTGACACGTCATTCATTTTCAAATGTCAAGTTGTTCCTGTCCTTTTGTCTAGCCCTTTTCCCCAACTGGCAAATGCCCAGAACTGGTATTTCATATTTTTAGATCGCTTGCTCTGATGAAATAGTTAGATTCAGCGAGAAGAAAAGGAAACAGTGACAGAGCTGAGTCTGGGAGCCTTTAGAGAACAGCTGCTTGCCTCTGATGTGACTGCTGGCCTTCTTGCTGTTGGGTGCCAATGTGCCTGCAACATATTAACTGTGTAACAATGCATAATACAAAGACTAAATGAACTTTCGTGCCGTGTGACATGTATTCCGAAGGTTTGGTGGCACAGATTACGCAAGCTAGACCTGCAAGCTGATAAGGAGCGAAATTGCAGGAGGTGGATCCTTACCTATTCAGTACGATACAGCAAAGCTGGTTGCTTCTCATGATCAGTATTTTGATCACATCTTACATCAATTAAGGAAGTATAGAACATGTATTCTTGTTTCAGGACCTAATGTGTTTTAAATTAGACATTGTAGAAATGATTATTTTACTGACTGCCTCATTAAATTCTGTCAACTGAGAAAATATACACATCATAATAGAAACCCTGAAAACAAATGATGTGCTGTCTTTTTATTGTCATTTAAATTCTTCTTCTGAGGCAGGACAAGAAATGTTTCAGTCAGTTCTTCCATCATGTTCATATTGGACAAAATATCTTTTTCCACATTTGTCCCCTATTTTCACACATGCACACTCCACTCTCTCCAGGAAAGAAAATTGGATCTGTAGTATAAATATGCCAGAAGACTTATGGCACACCAAGGAAAGATTAGAACAGGAAAAGACGCAGAGATCTGCAATAGAGCCTGATAAATCCAATATTAATTACTTTGCTTATTTCTCATACTATCCTCCCCTGTGGAATCAATTAGTAAGTTCAGATGCTTCTTTTCAGTTTAATGAGGTCTAAGTAATGATAATGAATTTCACATTCCTGCCAAGCATTTAAAAGAGGCTACCACAAAGGCAATGCCATATGAAATGATCTCTCCAGCATAACTCCCATTCTGCAAGAAGTATTTATTTCATCGAGAGAATGTAAAATGATGAAACGAGATCCCGTTTGCACCACTACAAGCACATAGGATGAACGGGTGCCATTTTGGGATGTTGGGGTGTTGGTCACATGAAACAACTCAAAATCTACAGACATGGTTGAATAAGCAATTGGTCTAACAACTGGCTCACAGCCTCATCAAAATCACATCTAAATTCCACCACAAATGGTCAACAGTGAAGTGACAAAACCCATCCTGTTCATTGTCTACAAAGGAGGCAGAGCCTGAGGCCTGCCACACCTTGAAAAATCTTCCACAAGGGCAAAAAGCCAGAGAGGGAGAAAATGGTCCATGACAAATCTGTTATAACTCTACACTTCCATATAAGGTGGGTTAACAGCAAAACTTGGCAGCCTTTTACTTTGGCAGGGAACAGATTTGCTAGAACAATCCTCAGTACACACAAAACAAGAAGGTATGAAATCCCTGATATAATATTTACAAACAGCGAAGACACAAGCTATCATTAATTTAACAGTATTGTTTCATGGGGAAAAGTGCTAAATTTAAAAGGAACAGTGCTCACACACAAACCCACACACACTTGTTCAACCACTGACATCAGCAATTAATGTGAAGTGTGATGATGGTGGGATCCTTCCCATTGTCAGGGTTTGTTTTGATTATCTGGCAGGGAAACAAAAGATAATGATTTTTTCCTCCCATATTATTAATCAAGGGAAATCTGAAGTGCTGTCACTATGTCAGGCCCAACATTTACTGCCGTCTGTTATCATGTAACACAGCAGATTTAAGGGTTTGACTCCAAATGTAGCAAACCGAAGCTAAACATGTGCAGAATTCAGTTATGATGCTGCACTCCCTTTCCTATTATTAGCCCTTTTCTGAAGCTCTGAAGCTCTCCAGCCATCTGAAACACAAAGTGGTTCCTGTGTCGAAGCTTCAAGTGACCACAAAAGCACCTGTTGGTCAGAAGAAGTTAAGACAGGAAATTGTATGCTTAGTTTATGTGTAGAAATAGACTTTGGAGCAACACAACTGTCCCTGGGAATCTGATAGCTCATTTCTGTTGGGCCTCCTACCAGAGTCAGAAGGTGGACAAGCCTTAATGTTGCATGGCCTTGGCCCTTGGATGCAAAGACCCCAAAAAAACCACAACAAAGAAACACAAAACCACCACACACACAAAAAAACAAAGAGGCAGAAACTACAAAAAGAGACACAAAACAGCTACAAAGACACAGAACAATCACAAACAGAAATGACCAACAAAACAATTACAGTGGAAAAAGATGCAAAACAATCGCAAAAAAGCAAAATGACTACGAAGAAACACCAAACCAGATGCAAGTCATGATAAAAAACAAGATGTAAAACAACTAAAAAGAGACGTGTGTGCAAAGAGACAAAAACTAAAATAGTGAAGTTCAAGTCTGGGTGAGGGGTGGGGGTCTATAACTTGTCTGTGTCCGGGGACCCA